TATTATTATTATTATTATTATTATTATTATTATTATTATTATTATTACTATTACTATTACTATTACTATTATTGAAATACAGGGAGTCCTCGACTTACGATCACAATTGAGCCCAAAATTTCTGCTGCTAAGTGACATTGTTAAGTGAGTTTTGCCCCGTTTTGTGACCTTCCTTGCCACGGTTGTTAAGTGAATCACTGCAGTTATTAGTAACCTGGTTGTTAAGTCAATCTGGCTGTCAGGATTCCACCAATCACCCTAATTAAATCATGATTCTCGAGCCAAACTTCAAAAAAACTTCAAAGGATTTATTAGAGGCGACCTACTGGCACTGCCCTGTATGAAGCCAACTCTGGCATACGTCATTTGCAGTCCCCTGTGGCCCTGTTTCCCTCTTCCCCACTGGGTGTGTCATAAATCAGATTCTCCAATTGAGCACCTTCACGGGCTGGGTGTCATCCTTCACGTTCTCCAATTAAATATATTTATGGGCAAAAGCTCTGGTGGTTTAGTTACAATCTTTTAAAGATAAGAGTTGGAATGTACTTTCGCTTCCAAACTGGTGCACATGCTCTTCCAGATTTCCTTCCTTCCTCCCTCCCCCCCCACTTATTTTTTTTAATGGCAACTTCTAAAACAGGGATAGGAATGTTTTATGAGTTGACACTGGCTTCCCCATTGACTCTGCTTGTCGGAAGGTTGCAAAAGGGGATCATGTGACCCCCTGGACACTGCAACCGTCATAAATACATTCTATTTGCTAGTCAAATTTTAATCACGTGACCATGGGGATGCTACAATGGTTGTAAGGTTGAAAAACAGTTGTGTCATTTTTTTTTAATGCCATTGTAACTTCGAACGGACAACTAAAAAGAATGATTGTAAAGTCGAGGTGCAGGTAGTTTTGATTTAGAACCATTCCAATGTCAAGTTCGAAACGGACCCATGCTTGTGATGACCCGGGGCATGGCACGAAGGCAACACAGTCAGATAAGCAATAAGAGTCCCTTTATTATCTACAACTTTGCCCTCCAATGCCAGGAACTCTCCCAGGAACAGCCTTTGACTGCAGAAACTTAAGTCCAAAACATGAGCAACACAAACTGTAACTTAAAGTCCAAACAAGCTAAACTGAAGTAATTAGTTTGGCAGGGCAGGAGCAGGAATTTCAGACTTGAAGGCATGGCAAAACTCACACAGTTGGGAAGACACCAGGAACACAGATAAGCCACGACAACACAGGATAAAGTCACATTTGCTCCCAGCAGCCTGCCGCACGCAGCCTGCCTTTCTTATCAACTGTCTTCCCACCTGTGGCTAATGAAGGGAATCAGGGCCTTTTCCTCCCCCATAAACAATGCAATCCACGTTGCTCTCTTCTCTGTTCCTCCCTGCGTGCTCTAGGATGAAGAGGCAGGTGGGCCTGGGTCTTCCTCTGAACTCCCTCTCCCTTGTTCTATCTCTCCCCTGCTCTGCCCAGCCGGATTTGCCCTTGCCCAGCCTCCTCCACAGCCAACAGAGCCACACTCCCATTCCCTGTCAGCTGTCCGGCTTCTTCCTTGGAGTCAGACTCTGACAGGGCATGACACTGCTGCTGCAGTCATCCTTACGTTTCTCAGCTTGCCACACAGTGGGGGCGAGGGGGTGGGAAAGGCTTGCAATGTCACACCCAGACTAACAGCAGATCGTCTAGTGCAGGGGTCAGCAACCTGCGGCTCTGGAGCCGCATGTGGCTCTTTCATCCCTCTGCTGCGGCTCCTTGTCGCCAGCTGGTGCCACAATTTTGAGAGGAACTTCTGGTTTGGGGTGGGAAGTACGGTGCACAAGGAGGAGACTCTTTGGCAAGGGGTGGATTTTAGGTTAGGACAGGGAGAGGAAAAAGGATGTGCTCAGCAGCCTGTATGTATGTACAATGATGGTGTAGTGGTTAGAAGGAAGAATTACAGGCTAATTCTGCTGATTGCCAGCAGTTTGATCCTGACTGGCTCAAAGTTGACTCAGCCTTCCATCCTTCTGAGGTCAGTAAAATGAGGACCCAGATTGTTGGGGGAAAGAGGCTGACTCTGTAAACTGCTTAGAGAGGGCTGGAAAGCTCTATGAAGCGGTATATAAGTCTGAGTGCTAATGCTATCATATGATTGCCCTTTGCAATCTTCCTCGCTGGCTTCCAACCAACAGTGTTAATGGAGAAAGCTACATTTGCTTGATGACTCTAGCAAAAGTTATAAAATTGAGTGTGACTCCCTTAACAACCATCTCACTTAGCAACGGAAATTCTCATCCTTGTTATGGATTGTAACTCAAGGATTACCTGTATGGTAAACAAAGATAAATAATATATCAGTGATTGTGTAAGAAAAAAAATTACATGCACTACAATGCTTAAAACAAACTTAATAACAGAGTAAGAGGAAAAAAAACAAGGAAAAAAAATAAGATGTGTATGTCGAAATAAAATTAATTCCATTTTTAATACTGACCCTATAGAAATGTATTGCTGCATCTTCTCATTTTTTTGGTAATATAAAAAAACCTTTCAGAAATTGATCATGAATGCATATCCTCCTGCATCCGTTTCTCATCATCAGGAGTTCCCATTTATTTTCTTCTGTGTAAAATCATTCTGTGCCACATTTGATAAGACCAATGTTATTTATAAAATGTCAAATTCTGTATTTTTGGGATGGTGAGTCAACATCACAATGACATTTTTTAAACTGCTGTTTCCCCCAGAACTGTATTCACTTCTCTTCTAACTGGAACTCAAGAGTGAACGTAGCTGGAAAAGTCCAAGGAATATACGTCAAGGCCAGCAGAAGAATTTGAAGGACCTGTGTTTTTAAAACATTCTATGAAAACCTCTTGGGTTGAGGAAGAACCATTTTTTGGAAATAACAAACTTCAAACGTCTTCCTCAGGAGCAAACCTTGTAGTTTTTGAACAAGGTGACAGGTAGTCCTCGTTTAGTGACCACGGTCAGCATCGGCAATTCTGTCCCTAAACGAAGTGATGGCTAAGAAGGAAAATAGGGCGACTGCAAGTGACGTTTCCTTGTTCCCATGCCTACTCACCCCTTTACATTCGTTGGAGAGAAAGGGTAACAAGAGAGTAAGCAGGCACACAATGGGGAATGCCTATCGAAAGTAAGGCATTGGTGTCAGCAGCCTGAAAATACTACATAACCAGCTAGTAGTATTCCCCATCAGGAAGCAAGTGAGGCGGAGGAGAGATCGCCTACGGAAATGGTTTCATTTTTTTTCATCCCTGCCTCTTGCAAAGTGAAGAGATTGAAGAGAAAGGGATTTCAAAAGAGCTATCAGGCACATGCCAGGCTATTTCCATAATGTGCTCATGTCTGCCTGTGCTAGAATATTGCTTTCCATTGTATGCCTGCTTACTCTCTTGTAATCCCTTCTCGAATCTGCAGAGATGAAAGAAGGAAAAACAACAGATCGGGCACAGAGCAAGCGTATTGATTGCAGTGGGGATCATAGGATGAGTGATACTGCAAAGGTCATAAATGTAGGCATTGGTTGTAAAGTTATTTCTTTTCAGCACTGTTGCTTCTTCTTCCGATGGGCACTGAATCCTCAGCTGGTAAGCAAGGAGCACTTGTAAAAATTCTTACAGGTTGTCTGCAAGCAAAGGGCAAGAAATGCATTAATAGCTTTACTCTTCTGTGGTTGCTTTTTTTTCTGAGCTTCTCCCATGGCTGATTTTTCTGTCTCCCCCAGGGGATAAACTGGATGCTGATTATATAGAGCGTTACCTGGGGCAATTAAGTCCCATGCAGGAAAGCTGCTTGATCAGACTTCGTCAGTGGCTCCAAGAAATGCAGAAAGGAAAGGTAAATGGGGCAGAGAAGCTGTGGTTACATACGTATAACTCCTGTCTTCCCTGGTTGCTCCTGTCCCATTGTTGAACTTGTGAAGGAACTGGGAGCAGCTTGCATTAGTGGCTGACACAGCAAAGGAAGCTGAAAAATGTACCTCTAAATTGCATTCTAAGTCAGTTTCCTTCTACCTGAAGGACCTCTTCCTACTGTTTTCCTTGCCCTGCGACTTCAAGATGTGTTTATGATCTGGGAAGGCTCTGTGCAGTTGAGCTGTGCAGAAGGCTCTGTGCAGTTGTGTTTATGATCTGGGAAGGCTCTGTGCAGTTGAGCTGTGCAGAAGGCTCTGTGCAGTTGTGTTTATGATCTGGGAAGGCTCTGTGCAGGTGATACTGTGGACACACCTGTGTCATTTTCTTGGCAATGCTATGGAGCAGGTGTCTCCAACCTAGGCAACTTTAAGACTTGTGGACTTCAACTCCCAGAATTCATCACCAGCTGGCTGAGGAAGTCCACAAGTCTTAAGGTTGCCAAGATTGGAGACGCCTGCTATGGAGGATGTCTACCATGCCTTCTTCTGACATAGTGGTGTTTTTTTGGGGGGGGGGGGACCTTTTATGGTGGCTGTTTGGGTGGTGTCATGATGGAAGTATTGGACTAGGATCAGAGAGGGCTGGGTTCAGTTCCACCATTCATGGAAGCTCCTAGATGACTTTGGGCTAGTCCTTCCTTCTCAGCCCAAAAGCCAACAGGTGTAGCATGAAAAGTGTTAGTCTAGGAGCAGGAAGATCTGGGTTCAAGCCCATCCATGGAAGCTCCCTGGAGGACATTGAGCCAGCCCTTCCTTCCTTAGCCTTAGAACCAATGTGTCAGGATTCCAGTGATTGCCCTAATTAAATCATAAGCTTCGAGCCAAGCTTCAAAAAGCTTCAAAAGATTTATTAGAAGTGACATGCCGGCATGACCTGTATGAAGCTGACTCTGAGATACGTAATTTATGATCACCTATGACCCTGTTTCCACCCACCCACCCTGGGTGTATCATAATTCGGCTTCTCCAAGGAAACACATTCATGGGCTTCACATTCTCCTATGAAGGATTTTTGAGGGCAGAATATCCGGTTGCCTAAGTTACAATCTTTATGAGATAAGCTTGGAATGTGCTTCTGATTTTATTTGCTATATGCTCCTCCAGGTCTTTACCCCCTCCCCTTTCTCATAGCAACTTGAAAACAGGCATAGGAACGTTTTACAAGTTGACACAATGTAGAGCAGAGGTTAAGATGGATTATGAATCAGGAGAACCTGATTCTAATCCTCCCTTGGTTACAGAAGTTCTTGGAATGATAAGAGCCAGAGTGGTCCAGCGATGAAGGCGCTCGACCAAGAATGGGCAAACCCTGGTTGTAGTCCACTCTCACCCACGGAAGCTCTCTGGGGCATTTTGAGCTTCTCTCTCAGCTTGGATTTGATGAGATTCCCCTTGAGTTCCTGGATGAAAGGTGGAATTCCAAATCTAATAAATAAACCGAGTGTTAACTTAACTGTCTCTTTTGCTCAGGTTCCCAAAGATGAATACATTCTCCGTTTCCTGAGGGCTCGGGACTTCAATATCGATAAGGCTCGGGAAATGCTCTGCCAGTCCTTGGCATGGCGAAAGCAATACCAGGTGGATTACATTCTGCAAACCTGGAGGCCACCTTCCCTTTTGGAAGAATTCTACGCTGGGGGCTGGCATTACCAAGACAAAGGTGAGCATCTACCTGTTGCCCTCTGCTCAGTCAGTGTCAGGACGTGAAGTTCGTCAGCCTGTGAGTCATTTCATCATTCAGGTACCTTGGGATGACTCTAAAGTGGGCTTCTTGGGTGCAGTGTTGAATTTGCCACTGCTCTTCAACATTTAAAACTGTCAGGTGGGAAAGATCCAATCTACACATAATGGCCTAATTAAACTGATTTATTGCTATGATAGCCTATGCACAGAAATCTTCTCAACAATCAGCACCTGCTTGGAGTTAGATAAGGGACAATGGAATTCAAGGAAAGTTGGACTTGGTTCATAGGGGTTCATCCCTATGTAGGGATTCTAGACTGATATCTCTTTTTAATTCCGCCCTTCTAGGTTCTGCCCCATCTTCTCCTACAAATCTCTGTTGGGAAGGCTTTTGTTGACATACATGTAAAAGTAATTCCAAAGAAAGCCAGGAAATTTTTTAAAAATAGTTCTTCTGTTGAGGTATAAGATTTAATAGCTGCCAGCTGCTGTAAGTCTGATGCAATGTAAGTCTGATGCAATTGAGGATGAATCAGCATAGCATGGGCATTGCTCTTTTAAGACGAAGAATGAGTCCACAGAAGTATATACTAAGGCAGCCATTAGAGGGCGTGTTCTCTCTCCTTGCATCCGGTATTCATTGCAGAGTTCTCTGTGTACAGTTAAGAAGAAGATTGATTGCTTGTAAGGTGTTTTGCCTACCACATATTTTTCTGTATATAACTGTCTTGTAGATAAACCACTGTTAAGTGTCTAAGTCTCTGTGTGCTGTGTTTTGCTCCTGGGTTGTCTCACAATAATAGTCATGCTGCAAACGCTCTGACATCTTCTATCATGGCAAAGGCTCAGTGTCTACAAGGCTTTGATATCTGTGCTCAATACGAATTGCCATGCAGTCATTTCACAATGCAAAACCGGACTTTTTGGACTTCGCTGTCTGGCCCCAAAGACAAACCAGGAGATCAACTCCATTGGAAAGCTAAAACTACTGTAATTGAGAGTAGCTATAATAAGTAGAATTTTGTAAGTCAAACTGTGCTATATCTCTTCCACTTCTTGTATTATAGGGAGGTGTTTGTTTGAGCCTCTTCTGCATATTTCGAGTGTGTTGTGAACTTAAAGTATGTTTCACCCCTCTATTAAAGTAAACTTCCTTGCTCTTTATATATAAATATGTAAGTCACATGGTTTGTCATTTGTGGTTCTCTTATTAATTGTGTATACAGTTAGTCCTTGACTTATGTCAAAATTGGCTGTAAGTTACTTTTTTTCTCTTTCCTTTGTATTTTTACTGGCAGTAATGAGGTAAATCAAAAGTGTAAGTCAAGGTTGCGTGCTCAAGGCTGAGCTGTGTTATGGGAAGAATATTTCATTCCAACCGCAAGTTGTATGTTGTTACAAGTTGGCAGTTCAACAAATGCTGCTAATTTTCATGTTTCTGGAAGCTTATTCCGTCTTTCAGGGCAGTTTTTAAAATTCAGCTTCTCTGTTCTTTCTTTGTTTTTCAAGACGGAAGACCCCTGTACATCCTCCGCCTTGGGCAAATGGACACCAAGGGGCTTGTGAAGGCTCTGGGAGAGGAATCGCTTCTTCGCCATGTGAGAGACGCCTTTAAGTTAAACTCTTAGCTTTGACCAAGGTCCTTTCTCAAGGGGCTTCTGGCAAGTCTTGGTCTTATGTGAATGTGCGCCCACACATTTTAAAGGCACCCGAACTCACAAATGTAGCAACTATGCAATGCAGGAATGTCATTACTAGAGTCTCTAAACATGGTCTTCACAATGTCTACCATATAGAACTTTTAGAAAAAGTTCTATATGGTAGACATTCTATATGGTAGAGAGCCGCGGTGGCGCAATTGTTAGAGTGCAGAACTGCAATTAATTGTGCTGCCTGCCAGCTGCCTGCAGTTTGGTAGTTCGATCCTGACCAGGCTCAAGGTTGACTCAGCCTTCCATCCTTCCGAGGTTGGTAAAATGTGGACCCAGATTGTTGGGGGCAAGAGGCTGACTCTTTAAACCACTTAGAGAGGGCTGTGAAGCACTGTGAAGTGGTGTATAAGTACTACTGATGATTAATTGTAGTGGACAGTGGTTAGAATGCAGTATTGGAGGTTGACTCTACCCACTGCCAGCGGTTCGATTCTGACTGGCTGAAGGTTGACTCAGCCTTCCATCCTTCCAAGGTAAAATGAGTACCCAGATTGTTGGGGGCAAGAGGCTGACTCTGTAAACTGCTTAGAGAGGGCTGTAAAAGCACTGTGAAGTGGTATATAAGTCTAAGTGCTATTGCTAGTGCTAACCCTCTCCTTATCCCCTCCCTGCAGTTCCTCCCCACTTATTGTATATGGCAGACTGACAGTAACTGAGGCATGATGTAGCACGATGGCAGTCCTGACATTGTGGGAGGAACTGTTCTGGGAGTTGAAGTCCATATATCTTATAGTTGACAGGGGAATTCTGGGAGTTGAACTCCGTATATCTTATCCTTGATGGGAATTCTGGGAGTTGAAGCCCACACATCTTAAAGTTGGCTGGGGAATTCTGGAAATTGCAGTCCACATATCTCATAGTTGGCTGGGAAATTCTGGGAACTGAAGTCCACACATCTTGAAGTTGGTTGGGGAGTTGGACAGATTTTCTTAATATACTCTACAAGGTAAAGTAGCATTCCTTGACTTTATGCAGAACTTTCTTGACTTGGTCTACATTGAAGAACAGGCATCTATCTTGAAAGCATCTCCAAAACCTTCACTGCCCATTTTTAACGCTAAGCAGATCAAGATGAGACTATTGCATTTCTCTCTCTCTCTTTCTCTTCCTTTCCTGTCCTTTCCTTTCCTTTGCTTTCCTTTCTTTTCCTTTCCTTCCCTTCCCTTCCCTTCCCTTCCCTTGAATAACTCTTTCTTTTCTTCCACCAATTTCACAAGGCAAGAGATTAAAGGATTCTGCTTTAAAAAGGATGCATTCCTCTATCAGCTGTAAGATATTATCAGTATATCCAAGACCTGTAACTGAGGAATATTTTCATGTCACAATCCAAACCTTTGTTTTTTGTTTTCCTTTTAGGTCTTGTCAATTAATGAGGAGGGACAAAGGAGATGTGAAGAAAACACCAACCTCTTGGGCCGCCCCATCTCGTTAGTATGCATCTCATTATGCAAATACAGATCAACATGAAGGAAAAGTCAGCACCTCATTGAACAAATTACTATTCTCATACGCTGAATAAGTGTAGGGAGATTGGAAGACTATTCTGAGGGGCATTTATGAAAACTCCCAAAAAATTTTACATAAGGAAGTTGGCCAGATCCTGTGCCTTGAGGACTAGTGAGTTGAGGAGTGCCAAGTTTACAGATTGTAAAAAACAAAACAAAACCAACCCCTGTCTTGTGTTTCTTCCCTTTCAGATCCTGGACCTGTTTAGTTGATCTTGAAGGGCTGAACATGCGCCATCTCTGGCGTCCTGGTGTAAAAACCCTCCTTAGGATTATTGAAGTGGTTGAGGACAACTATCCAGAGACTTTAGGGAGGTTGTTGATCGTGCGAGCACCAAGGGTATTCCCTGTTCTCTGGACTTTGGTGAGCCAGCATAAAAGGGGAGACCGCTATTTTCCCCTTGGGGTGGTCTTTCAAGGAGGTTTTTAAAAAAACAGCACATTTAAGAACATTGTTTTTAACTGAAAGGGACATGTTACTGGATAGCTCCTTGGTCCAAATTTGATTCTAGAGCAATTGCAATTTGTTTTAGTGATAGCAATAGGACTTAAAACTTATATACCGCTTCATAGTGCCTTACAGCGCTCTCTAAGCGGTTTACAAAGTCAGCCTATTGCCTCCAACAATCTGGCTCCTCATTTGACCCACCTCAGAAAGATGGAAGGCTGAGTCAAGTTTGAGCCGGTCAGGATCGAACTGCTGGCAGCTGGCAGAGTTAGTCTGCAATACTGCAATCTAACGACTGTCCACTACAGCTAATCATCAGTAGTACTTATATACCGCTTCACAGTGCTTTACAGCCCTCTCTAAGTGGTTTACAGAGTCAGCATATTGCCCCCAACAATCTGGGTCCTCATTTTACTGATCGCAGAAGGATGGTAAGCTGAGTCAACCTCAAGCCGGTCAGGATCGAACTGCTGGCAGCCGGCAGACTTAGACTGAATTCTAACCACTGGGCCACCACAGCTCTTTTGTGCATAATTTATCTTTTGATTATGGCTCCCTCTTTCTATTGTAAATTTAATTTTAAAGATTTGCACAATGAGGGAGGAAAGAGTTCTTTTTATGCCTTTTTTATTTTGTAAATGGGAAAAGTGGAAACACTGCAAAAATATTTCTTTGGAGTAAAAAAAAAAAAGGTTTCTGTACTTTAAAGTTTAGGGTCCAAGTTACAATAGCAAAGGGTGAGTTTGTTTTGGTCTCCCAGGAAAGTATTTTATTGAAAGGATTATGAACTTTGAATATTTGAGAGAACAGGTGATAAACAGCATCATTTTCTCCTGTCAATTTTAGGTGAGCCCCTTTATCAATGAAAACACCAGGCAGAAATTCCTCATTTATAGTGGCAACAACTATCAGGGTTCTGGAGGACTTGTTGATTATCTGGAAAAAGACGTGATTCCAGACTTCCTTGGAGGAGAATGTGTGGTAAGGTTGAATAATGTCTATAGGATATAGAAATTCAATAACACTATATACCACTTCACACTTGTTTTACAGCCCTCTCTAAGTGGTTTACAGAGTCAGCCTATTTGCCCCCAACAATCTGGGGGCTCATTTTACCCACCTCAGAAGGATGGAAGGCTGAGTCAGCCTTGAGCAGGTCAGGATCAAACTGCTGGCAGTCAGTAGAGTTAATCTGCAATGCTACATTCTAACCATTGTGCACCATGGAAGGAAGGAAGAAGAAAAGAGCAACAGCAATAAGACTTATATACCGCTTTACAGTGCTTTACAGCCCTCTCTAAGCAGTTTACAGAGTCAGCCTCTTGTCCTCAACAATTTGGATCCTCATTATACTTACCTTGGAAGGATGCAAGTCTGCGTCAACCTTGAGCCTGGTGAGATTTGAACTACCAAACTACAGGCAGCCAGCAGTCAGCAGAAGTCGCCTGCAGTACTGCATTCTACCACTGCACCACCACAGCTCTTTGGTCCAAATTTTCTTTAGTTCTTTGAATGTTAACATTCTTACCAGTGGATGATAACACGAATACGTAACAATTCTAATATTTAGGAGATCCATTCCCCTATTGAGTAATGTCAGTTGAGAACTCGACTCTCAAATAATTGATTTTTGATTATTTGCCGTCAAGCCAGTGTCAATTCTCAGTGACCTCATAGATAGACATTTTACAGGGTGCAAGGCAACATATCCACTTTCGAGGGCTGAAGCTGGCGGTGAAAACCAATTCTCAGCCTAGAGAGGATTTCTATGTAAACTGAGAACAGATGCCTGTGATTTTGAATGTCCATTGAGCATCCATCGACTCAAATGGGTTGGAGAAGAATATTCAGAAATTCAACTCCAATGCTAATGTATGTCTAAGGACTTTGATGTCTATGTTCTGAACTTGAGAGAATTGTGTATATATGATTTCTTGTTTGCTTGCAGTAAAGCATCTTCTGTTTCTGACTTGAATATGTAAAATTTTACTCTTTGCTAGAGAAGAGCTGAGTTCTTGGAGAATCAGTAATTTGTTACCATACATTGATCCTGGCAGTAGAATAGAGTAGAATATAGAATAGAATTGAGCAGAACAGAGCAGAGTGGAGCGGAACAGAACAGAACAGAATAGCTTTATCGTTACTTTGAATGTACACTAATCAACATATGTTAAAATGAAATTTCATTGCATACAGCTCTCAAAGGGTCACCACCTCCAATATACACTATATAAACATGATAAAATAAATAAATACACACAAAATTAGGTATATACCCACGTATATAATACGACAGAGAGAAACAACACAGTCTAGTTCGGATGTATACATGTAGAGGGTGAGAAAAATGAATCTTGTGAGTTGGCCATTGAAGTGGTTGGCCATTGCCTTCTTGAGATGCTCTTGCATTCCTGCTAAACTTCCACGGTGGTACTAATCTGGATCTGGTCTTCCTTCAGTCTCTGTCCAAAAAGAGTCAGTCAGATCAAGAACAAATTGCTCCTTTTGAGTTTAGAGAGAATTCTGAGGAAGCTTTCATAGCCGTAGGGTAGTCCAAAGATCAGGCAAATACGAGGTCTTCCTATTTGGAATGTTGACATTTACCAAGGTATCTGATCTGACCATCCAATTGTCCTCCCTCCACAGTGTAATGTGGCTGAAGGTGGGCTTGTCCCCAAATCCTTGTATCAAACAGATGAAGAGTCCGAAACTGCGGATCATATTCGTCTCTGGACGGAAACCATCTATCACTCTGCAAATATTTTCAAAGGGGCTCCCCAGGAGGTAAGGCTGAAGAGCACCTTCTGTTCGATGGAAGGTACAGTCGATACATTCTGCTTTTCTAGGCCACCCAGCAATGACTTGATTAAGATCCTGGAGAAGGAGGAAGAACTTTGTCCCCCCCCCCCCCCATATATGTCCTCTCCCTTCAACGGCTGTGAATCTCTCGTGCGGGAAATATTTTTTCTCTCTCTTCTAATCTAGATCGTTGTGGAGATCCTGGAAGGCGAATCGGTGATCACTTGGGATTTTGACATCCTCAAAGGAGACGTGGTGTTTAGTCTTTTCCACTCCAAACGAGCCCCCGAGACTGTCCGGAAGGAATCTGCCATGCCAACCGCTTTGACGTCTGGGGAAAACGTACCACTCATTGGCAAGAGTTGGATCCTGGGAGTGGATTACAGCCGCGTGGAGACGCCCTTGGTCTGCCGTGAAGGCGAGAGCATCCAGGTCAGATTGTCCTCCCTCTCCTCACCCCCACCCCCCAAAAAACCCAGTTCTGTGCCTCTGGGCCTAATCACGATGAGAAAGCAAGCTTTTGCTATAGGTGTGAGCCAATTCCATGGAATTTTTTTTTTCCCAAACGTTTTATTAAGTAAATTGTTAAAAACATTGGACATGGTGTGGTCGTCCTGACAATTCTGTTTGTCATACATATTATGGCATAAAGTACATGCTTTATATACATTTATACAACATTTTCTATTTCTAACCATCCATTCTGCCAACCCTCCTATCTTTTGATTCTAGATCCTTCCTTTTTTCCCCACCATTAATAGAATTTATCCCATACTTATAGTATTCTGTTTCGTCTTTGTCTTTCACCTCCAAAGTTAGTTTGTCCATCTCAGTGCAAGTCCAGATCTTTTCTAATTCTTCATCTTCATCGGGAATTCCTTTATCTTTCCACTTTTGAGCAAAGGCTAACCTTGCAGCGGTGATGTATTATTAAGTAGATCACCTCTTTGTTGTATTTTTCTGTTATGATACTGAGTAAGAAAAATTCTGGTTTATATTCCACTTTTTGCCTATCATCTCCTCAAGCCACCTCTGAATTCTATACCACAATTCCGTGGAATTTTAACATGGGCGACAGATTCCTCAGACTCCACGATAGAGGGATGCATTTGATCAGTTGGTTACACTGATAGAAAGCTTTCCACGGCACTCGATTCATCGAAAGGATCAGATCTCTACGATTTGTAATGTACCTAAGTGCGAAGACTGTTTTGCCACTCCTAATGGTACATGAATTAACTTGTTAATTAAGAAATGGATTGCAGGGCAAGTTGACAGAGTAAAACATAATGCAATTGTAAGCAATTAGAAGTATCATGTGAAAGGTGTGAGAGATACATTGACAGGTAGATAGCCAGGTAGGTAGGCAGGCAGGCAGATAATAGGTAGGTAGGTAGGTAGGTAGGTAGGTAGATAGATAGATAGATAGATAGATAGATAGATAGATAGATAGACAGATAGATAGATGACAGGTAAATAGATGATAGATAGATAGATATGATAGATACAGATGAGAAATAGATAGATAGATGATAGATATTATAGACAGATGATAGATGATGATGAAAATAGATAGATAGATGACAGATGACAGATAAACAGATAGATGATAGATAGATAGATAGATAGATATGATAGATAAATATAGATGAGAAATAGAAGATAGGTAGGTAGGTAGGCAGGCAGGCAGACGGATGAGAGATGACAGATGACAGATGATAGATGATAGCTAATAGCTAATAGCTAGATGATAGCTAGATGACAGCTAGCTAGCTAGTTAGAGACAGACAGGTATAGATAGAACATTATTACGTGGTATGAAAAAAAAAACTAACTGTGAAAAAACCTGACTCAAGTTTGTTTCCAAGTCCGTGTCTGAACCTAGCAAATAGGTGCCAGATGTGCATGTTTCCAGGAAAAAATGTATCTTGTTGTTCTAAGGTTGCTGTTATGCAGCGCCAGATAGGTATCCAAGGAGCTTCAGACCACAGATGGGTTTAGAGCTCCTGAAACCCCTCCAGAGGATGATCATGGCCTCCTTTGTACGCTAGCTGGAAAAGCTCATTTCAGTCCGAAACATTAGGGCAGAGGTCTCCAAACTTGACCACTTTAAGACTGGTGGACTTCAACTCCCAGAATTCTGGGAGTTGAAATCCACCAGTCTTAAAATGGCCAAGTTTGGGGACCCCTGCATTAGGGGATCAACTCAGTGTCACCTGAGGGGATCTTTACACAATCAGAAATGTGCCTTTAGGATTTGTCTTTATCTCTTCACAGAAAGAGGAAAGAGGAGTTTCGAAAGCTAACTGGCACAGACAAACAAACACCCGGTTTATCTTTCCCTGACTGTGTTTTTCCTCCTGCCTCTCTGCTTGCAGGGTTCCCATGTGACTCGCTGGCCAGGTTTTTACATCCTCCAGTGGAAAATGCACAGCCCAATTCCCTGCACAGGGACCAGCCTCTCTCGGGTTGACGACGTCTTGGCTACGCTCCAGGTCTCTAATCACAAATGCAAGATCCTATATTATTACGAGGTGCTTGCATCCAAGGAGTTCAGGTAGGCAGGCAAAGAACTGGGGGCATCTGTTTATTTATTTACTAGCTCGATACCCATGCTTCACTATGAAACTATGTGGTCGGGCTTAGTTTTTGGGGAGGAAAATAAAGTGTGTGTGGGGGGGAATTGTGCCTCTGCCTACCAGCATCTATCAGTATTCACCTGGCTAGCGTCCTGTCAGTGTGTGAGAGAGTTGAGGGCTGTTTGGAAAATGAAAGAGTATTTGCTGTGTGAGCAAGGAGACAGTAAGGAGCCTGGACGTGGCTTAGCTCAACTGTTCTGTACTAAAGCTGCTTGGTGCTGTGAAACTGAAACTGAAACTCCTCTGCTTATGTTTTGCATTTGGAACAGATTTCTTTTCAGGTGGGGAGGGGGAGTAGAACTCCTTAGCATCAGAGCGTGTTAATAATAATTAATAAATAAATAAATAAATAAATAAATAAATAATAATAATAATAATAATAATAATAATAATAATAATGATGATGATGATGATGTAGGAAATACTCTAAATACTCTGATGGTCATTTTGAAAAATCCTTTCTTAGTGAGCTCCTAGAAGCCAAGAGGAACATACGAGCCAAATTGCAAGTTTGTAGGCTTTACGGTTCTGGAGATTTTGTGATGATGCATGACTGGTATTTCGCTTTTAGCCACTTAGCCACCACGCCCCTCAAAATATATTTTGAGGGGTGTGGTGGCTCAGTGGCTAAGACACTGAACTTGTAGATCAGAAAGGTCGGCCACTCAGCAGTTCAAATCCCTAGTGCCGCGTGACAGAGTGAGCTCCTGCTACTTGTCCCAGCTTTTGCCAACCTAGCAGTTCAAAAGCATGTAAAAAAAAATGCAAGTAGAGAAATAGGGACCCCTTTGGTGGGAAGGGAACAGCGTTCCGTGCACCTTTGGCGTTTAGTCCTACTAGCCACCTGACCACGGAGATGTCTTCGGACAGCGCTGGCTCTTCGGCTTTGTAACGGAGATGAGCACCGCCCCCTAGAGCTGGAAATGAGTAGCACGTATGTGCGAGGGGAACCTTTACCTTATTTATTTATTTGCATCCTGCCTTTGTTATTTTTACAAATACAGCTAGTCCTCGACATATGACCACAAGGGAGCTCCACATTTCTGTTGTTAACTGAGACATTTCTTAAGTTTTGTCCCTTTGTATCACCTTTCTTGCTCCGGTTAAGTGAATCACTGCAGCTGATAAAGTCAGTAACATGGTTATTAGGCATCTCTTGGTGATTGGTCCACAGTCACCCAGCACCAGCTTTCATACCTAAGGCAGGACTAAAACTCCCCATCTCCTGGTGATTCGCCCAAAGTCACCCAGCCAGCTTTCTAGCCTGGTACTTTAACCACTAGACCAAACTGCTTTAACCACTAGATGCAATCTGTGGATGCATCAATTGGCTGGAAACTTTTTTTTTGCTTTGATGCTCCTTCCTGGCTATTAAGTCACTGGCCTGTGATTATTATTTGTTGGAAAAAGAAAATTGAACCAACCCTTCTTTGTGTAATATTTACTACTTTTAATCTCATTTATCCTTGCATTAAGGATATTGGAAGCCCCCAAAACAGGATGTACAGAATCAGAGCTGCCCCTTAAAATATTTTCTTTCTGAGCATCAGTGCTGTGATTCTAGGCACTTTTCCTTAAGAGCTGTAGATGGGGAGGATTTTCAAGACAGAGTTTAGGCTTTCATCTTTCCCTGCTTGATTATTTTTTTTTCTGCAATGCCTCACCTCTGGGTTTGTTTTCTTTTTCTTTCATCTGATCGGAGGCCAGGTTTCCCAGCAAGTAAAGTCAGAAAAGGAAAGAGAGAGAAAACTCAAAAGTGCAAGTAAAAGAAAATCAGAAAAGAAAGAAAGACACACCAAGAAGTATCTATGGAGATTCTCAGTCATCCAGCTCATGGCTGTCCCAAAG